AAACACAGTCTAGATGACGTTAATGTGAGATTAAATGATAGGTGAAATTAAGGGTGTGTTTAGGACACATTCTTTTGAAAGAATGTACTATTGAATAGTAGATTGATGGAGAATATGTGGTTGAAAATGAAGGAAAAGTTATTAATGTGATGAAAAATATTATTTTTTTGAAAAATATGTGGTTGAAAATGAGTAGAATAATGAGAATGAAAAAAATAATGTGTACCAAATAGGGGCTAAATAAGTCATTTCATTTAAACATATCATTTAAAGTCACGTAAACTGTATTTGTAACCACATTGGAGATGAATAACATTACTCTATGTAATTAGTTTATACACATCATCGAATAAATTCATTACCTCGTGTTTGGTGCACTGATACAACCAAACGCAACAATTTTTTTTTCGAGTTAGTATTGCATATTTTGTAAGTAGGATTAGTTGATATGGGATGATTAAAATTTTGGTAATATTGTCACTTTTTTATGCCTTCTCTAGAGAAGAAATTTTTTTATTTTGAGAATTTAAGAATGTCATTTATTTGTACATAAAATAAGAAAAATATTGTAGTTTTCGCCGTCTTAACTCGATAGTTGTAACCGTTGGTTGAACGGATGCATCGAAGTGAAGGGACAAAACTGTCATATAAAATTTCTCTCTCTCTCTCACACACAAATGAAATCAAAGTGAAAAGAGAGCGAGAAAAAGAGACCATTCACAGAGAATACCATATTTCCACCTTATGACCTTGCCTTTTCTTCGAAGTCTCGTTACATGGTAAAGCTTTTTTTTTTCTTTCAATTTGGTCCCGAGTAATTTTTATTTTTAGTTTTTGCTTTTCATAAATAGTTTCAAGACTCAAGACTGATTTTTAGCAATTCTGTTACTTATATAAAGCCATTTATGTTATTGAAAAACAGAGTCTGCAAATGCGTTTCTGGGGTCCTAATTCATATTGTTGATAACCCAGGTGAGGAAAATTGGTTAATATTTTTTTAATTTGCTGAATTACATGATGAATCTATCGATCACGGTACTGTATTTGTACAGTTTATATTTGTTTTGACTCTTGCAAGATCTATGATTTCAGATTTTGATCTGTACTGTGTTGTGGTGTATTTTTTCATTTCCTGGACCGGAATGAAAACGGTTGAGTTTTACGGGGGTTTGGGTTTTTTTTTTTCTGTATATATTTTTCTTTGGGTTTTGATAATTTAAGGATTATGCTCTACTCTGTTCTATTCTGTTTGATTTAGAACTGTTTGTTAAACTGTTAAGTTTTTTTTTTTAAATCGAAATTGGTTAGAACTAAGACTAAAAAATAATGTATATGTTGGTTTTAAATGTAGGTTTATGTGTGTTTAATACTTGAATTCAACGAAGATGAGTGGGTGCGATGAAGCAGAAGAAGATCAATTCTTTGACAGCCGTGATGAGATTACTTCTATGTCCGATTTGGGTTCTGAATGCTCTGAGTTCTGCTCGAGTTTAGGATACGAGGTTTGGGCTGAAAAACCAGAAAGTGTTGATGAACGACGCAATAAGTTTTTGAGATGGATAGGTTCGAGTTTAGATTGGCGCACTATGGGAAGAGAAGACGACGCGATAAGTTTTTGTAATGATGAAGTTAAATCCGGCTGTGACAGATTAACAGATAATGGTGAAACGGTGCTGGCAAATTTGGAATCCAAACAACACCTTTCCTCGAGTTGTTCGCCGTATTCTTTTCAGTCGAATGAATCAATGGAATTCATAGAAGGTGGTGCAATGGAGAATTTTGTGTGGAAAATAAGGAATTTGGATGATGGAACTGAATTTGTTGTGGATGGAATGGATCGGGATGGTATGCTCACTAGACTACGGAAAGTGGGTTCAGGTAAAATGGTTTCACTTGAAGAGTTCCTAAGAACACTTGGCTCGTCATCTTTGGTTCAACGGTTACTGCGTAAAGAATCGAAAGGTATAAACATGGTTGATACTAAGAAGAAAGTAAACAGCGGTTGGCTCGGGAAATTGAGTGGATTGACTCTTAATGCAGATTGGACAAAGGGAGTTCATTTCAGGCCTAATGGGATCAGTTCGAAGACGGGGGCTAGAACCCGAAATGTTCAAGTTCATGCGTGCAAAAAACGTTCAAAGGAATTGTCCTCGCTTTGTACAGGGCAAGAATTTTCTGCACACGAGGGCTCAATCTTGACAATGAAGTTCAGTCCTGATGGGCGATACCTGGCTAGTGCTGGAGAAGACGGAGTTGTACGTGTGTGGAAGGTGCTCGAGGATGAGAGTCCAAAGAAATTTAATTTTCAAAATATGGATCCGTCTTGTGTATACTTCTCACTGAATCATTTTTCTGAGTTAGCTCCACTTGATGTTGATAAAGAGAAGACAGCCCCGATAAAAAGTATGAGAAAATCGTCAGACTCGGCTTGTGTTATTATTCCCCCCAAGGTTTTTCAGTTATTGGAGAAGCCTTTACATGAGTTCAATGGGCATAGCGGTGAGGTATTGGCTCTATCATGGTCTAAGAATGGGGTTAGTGTCCATGACTCTCTTGGTTCTGATTATATTAAGTTATCCTAAATTTGCCATAGTCCTTACTTTAAAGAAAAACCAATGTCTTGTGGAGTTAATGGTACTTGTACTTTCTCTTTTGCAGCACTTGCTATCATCTTCAGTTGATAAAACAGCTCGCTTATGGAAATTGGGGCATGATCAATGCCAAGGAATTTATTCACATAATAATTATGGTAACTCTTTGATGGCTTGATTGTGTTACTTAGAGCATGTTTGGCTAAGCTTAAAAAAAGAAAAAAAGAAGTTAATTATTTACTGATAACTGTACTTTTAAGCTTATCAAAACATGCTCTAAATATACATTCTAATTTTTGCTATCTTTCATAGACTTATCCACATGTAAATTCTTTTAATACTCCTTACAGTGACCTGCATTGAGTTCAATCCCGTGGATGATAATTATTTCATAAGTGGCTCTATAGATGGGAAAATACGCATTTGGGAAGTCCGAGATTGTCGAGTCAGCGATTGGACTGATATTAGAGAAATAGTGACTGCTGTGTGTTATCGTCCTGATGGCAAGGTTAGCTGGCATTTATTTCTAGCTTTTTGTAAGATTTATTTAACCTGTAGCATGTTTCTTTATATATCTTATTTCTTATGCTACAGAGAGGTGTTGTTGGCACGATGGATGGCAATTGTCGTTTTTATGACATTGTTGGTATGTATTAACGGTCTCGATGTATATTTACCGTATTTCTTTTTCATATCAATATTAGCGGAGTAAGACTTTTTCTGAATGCTCTATATTGCAATTTATAAGCACGTATGAAGATAAAACATTAATATGTCATGACTAGAAATGGTTGTTTATTGGATGCGAGTTTTGTTATCTCCAGGGTGCACGCATTCATGCGTGATAATCATCTAATTTTTTAGTTCCATTGAGCATTTGACTCTTGGGGTGTCTTCTATGAAATTTGTGCCCATTAGAAAATATTCTATGTTTTGTTGTTAAGTATTTGCGAAACTAGCTCCTGTTTGGCCCCCATTTTCTAAAACTCATTTGTTCCCGAACTCATTTTTAACCACACATTCTCTCAATAAAATAATTTTTCTTGGGAACCCTAAATTTTTACATACTTTTTAACCATTCTCTTAAAAATATCACTTTTCGCAAAATCTATTCTCAAAAAAATATCTACCAAACAGGGGTTTAAACCAATTTAACTATTTAGCAGGAGCTATTCTTCTTGTGTAATCATCATGTTTGATACCCAGAATTTGACTAAATTGGACAGTACAATGTGCAAGATTTTAGTTTCTTGTCTCCCCCCCCTTCTGTCTCTCAGATTGTCTAATTCTGACCAATGGACCATACTAGTACTAAACATAACATACAATAAGAGTTGACATTAATGTGACATAAACTCTTTGGTTTAGATAATTGTTTGCAATTGGATGCTCAAATATGCTTAAACGGGAAGAAGAAGTTGACTGGGAAGAGGATAACTGGACTTCAGGTAACTATTCTGGACTTGATTGTAGTTGTCATTTTTCATCTTCATCCAGCTAAAAATCGTGGTGTTATTCATCGTTCAGTTTTGCCCAAATGATGTGAACAAAGTAATGGTCACTTCTGCTGATTCACAAGTTCAAATACTTCGTGGGACTGATATAGTCTGCAAATTCAAAGGTGTTGATTAATTTCTTTGTTTGCAGGTTTTTTTATGGATACATGATTTGATTTTTTCCCCCATTTACTAGACTATTTGGAACTGGTGTTCTTTTGTCCTCACTCAAATTCTTCTATTGCTACCTTTAGGCAATCGAAGTTCAGGAAGCCAAGCAACTGCATCTTTCACGTTAGACGGGCAACACATTGTCTCAGCCACCGAGGACTCAAATGTCTGTGTCTGGAGCTATATTACTGAGGACCAGAAATCAACTCGACCAAAGAATGTACGATCACGTGAGAGTTTTTTCTCACGCAATGCATCCATTGCTATACCTTGGGGTGGGTTGAAAACCAAGCTCGGGGCACTACCAGGAAGTATTTTAGGAAGTGTAAATTTCGATGAGAAATTGCTTCATAAACTGCCCGCATCTTTCCCTGACTTTTTCACAATGAGACGTGGGTTCTTGGAGTCTAAGGGATCTACAACATGGCCGGAAGAGAAACTTCCCAATTCAAGTCCGGTCCCAGTTTCTCCTTCCGTATGTAAATCCGAATTCAAGTTTCTAAAGAGTGCTTGGCAGAATGCGTTGCATTCTCCTCATTTGTGGGGTCTCGTGATCGTTACTGCAGGCTGGGACGGATGTATCAGAACATTTCTCAACTACGGGTTACCCATTCGATTTTGAAACCCGTTCGTTTTTGCAACATAAATACGGGATCGTCAGTTTGCGTACTGAAAGTTTGAGAAAACAGGGTTTGCTGATTTTGGACCCTTTATCACAAGATGATACACTACAATTATTTGGAAGTGAATTTTTTATACAATCTGGCCAAATCTTAACCAATTGGCTTACTTTTTTCTGTAATTGATTTGATTTGATGTCTTAGGATTCTGACTTTTTAACAGACATTTACATGTGAAAATTGTCCGGGGGATCATGTGATTCTGGCCCCATTTTATTTGTATACAAGTTTGTAAGAAGTTATATAATCGCAATTGTATGTTTGTCAAAAGCTGAGATTATTTTGGTTTGTCACTAGAATCTTAATAGTATAAGAGTAATATTTTTATTTTGACAAACTTTGTTCTCAAAACATATCAGATTTGGGAACGAAATGCATATAAGAAAGTGATTTCTATAGTTCACGAGGTAAGGATTTTTGTGTTTACATAGAGAGGGCAGAGAGAAACGAAAGCTTAGCATCATTTGAGCATCTAGTAAATGCTTGTATTACCTTAAAGGTAACAATGAGGATCGAAAAATCTTCTAGTTCTTCAGTAAATGAACAATTAAATAGTCGAGAACGTTGTGCATCATTGTTGATCTAGAATAATTTGCCCTTACATGTCGTATATAAAACTTTTTGGGTGGTACGTTATATGACAAATGTGAATGAGCACTCTTAGTGCATTGCTAACAACTGAGAAATCAAATTCTCGTAAGAGACTAGACATTCTTGTGACTGCACTGTAAGAACATACTAAATAAGCATTGGCATAAACGTGTGAATAATAAGTGTGTATGATTTGTCATACAGGGAATTTCGTGTGGGAAATTGTTCAAATTATAACAATTGAATATTTTAATGTTTGCACATTTTCCATGAAACAATTATTGATGATATAACTACTAGGCAATAATAATAATAATAATAATAATAATAATAATAATGGTATCATATTCTCCAATGATGCTATGTTGCCAAGAGGGTTTGACGTCCTCCTTGATGACATACTCACACTAGGGGGTGGAGAGCACTTTTTTGAAATTTTTTATTCACATGGATCCCACTTCCAGGTGAATGTCGGTCAAGTAGGATGACAAATTCTTTTTGGTAAATGAGCTTAATTCCATATTCCTCTTATTTTAATAGAAAGACATATTCGTCATTTTACAATTTTTATTAAGAAAATGGATAGAAAAGATAGTTTACACAATTAAAGATGTAATAGGGTGAAAAAGCCAAAAAATTGAAAATGACACGTTTCACAATAATAGTGAAATATATGGACATTGTGTAATTTATTTAGGACTCGTTTGCACATTTTTTAAAAAATCGAGGCTATGGTTACAATTAGTTCTTTCTTATTTATTTATTTAAATAGAAATGTATATTTCTCATTTAATAGCTTCATTTCATAGCTTTTAATTGAAAAAAATGGATGAAAATGACTTTTTGCATAATGAAATATGGAAATAAAGATAAAAATGCCAAACAATAAAAGGTAATGACGTTTTTCATAATAATAGTGAAAGGTAAAAACGTTATGTGCTGATTACCATTTTCAAAATATATTTTTCTCTCTTTTCAATCACACATTCTTCAATAAAATAATATTACATGCAAATTAAAAATATTTTCTTATTTTTTTACAAAAATGGGGCTGCAACAAATTATGTATTTAACCGTACGATGACATGATTCTCGTGGCTTATAAAAGCGGGTAATGCTACATGTACACACACATTTGTCATTGGTAAAATTAACCCATTTTTCTAGAGAGTGGTGCTATGTGTACACACAATTTTTTACGCAATGTTTTACACCCCCTCACATGGAGGGGGGCCCACGATTATTTTATTATGTGTGGGCTCCCCTCCATGTGAGAGAGGTGTAAAAAATTGTGTAAAAGATTGTGTACACTTAGCATTATTCTAGCAACCCCACGGATACCTCACAATAGGGGCAGGGAGGGATTTTTTTGGCAATTTTTTATTATCTTGGGTCCCGCATGGGGCCACCCATGTGAGTGTGTGTAAAACTTTTGTGAAATCGATTTATGTACATGTGTATTTTTTATAATAGCATCGCCACACTGGTGAGCTTGTGACGTGTGGACTGCAGTCTTGACTGCAACCCTAACCCTGTCTCCGGTAAAGTGCAGCAAAATGGGAAGGTCCCCTTGTTGTTCAAAAGTGGGTTTGCGGAGAGGTTCATGGTCCTCCGAAGAAGACGCTTTGCTTAGAAATTACATTCAACAACATGGTGAAGGCCAATGGAGATCTCTCCCCCCAAAAGCTGGTAATTTCTTTTTCTAAATCTTCTTACAGATTTTTAGTATTTCTTAACTCTATAAACTCATCGACCAAATTGGTTTTGAAACTGAGTTTTAGCCGATAGCTCGTAACATTTTTGCCGATGTTTCTGTAAGAAAAGGGCTGCTAAGATGTGGAAAGAGCTGCAGATTGAGATGGATGAACTATCTCCGGCCCGGAGTCAAGAGAGGAAACATCAATCCCGACGAGGAAGATATTATTACCAGACTCCATTTCTTATTGGGCAATCGATGGTCATTGATTGCCGGAAGATTGCCCGGTCGAACCGACAATGAGATCAAGAATCACTGGAACACAAATATGCGCAAGAAACTCGAGAATTCAGGCACTCAACCAAAAATACTGAACAGTTCGACGGAGTGGGGCCCCATAGAAGACACCAAAAACCAAGGAATTGAACCGAAAGCAGGCAAGCCTTCGATGGAATGCCTCAATGAGAAAACCAAACCTATAGTGCCTGAAACCAGCATAACCAGAAGTCGAACAGAGAAGAAAAATGATGATGATGGTAATGCTAAAAATACAGAAGTTAGCGAGACTAAGACGCTCCATGTTCCGAAACCCCTTAGGTTTTCTTCGGCACTTTCGAGGAGTAGCAGCTTGGGCAGTCTGTTGAATGATGATGGTAATGCTAAAAATACAGAAGTTAGCGAGACTAAGACCCACGTTCCGAAACTCATTAGGTTTTCTTCGGCGCTTTCGAGGAGTAACAGCTTGGGCAGTCTGTTGAATGATGATGGTAATGCTAAAAATACAGAAGTTAGCGAGACTAAGACGCTCCATGTTCCGAAACCCATTAGGTTTTCTTCGACATTTTTGAGGAGTAACAGCTTAGAAAGTCCGTTGAATGCTGCATCATCATCAGGTGATAATGGAGTGGACGTACAAAATTCTAACCTGTTGCATCTGTTTGAGCAAGTTTTTGATGAAGATCAAGATTTTCTCAGCACCTACGATGATCCACTCCATTTTTTGGATTCTTCGAGTACTGTAGAAATGCTTGAGAAGGTGTATGATGAATATCTTCGGCTACTGTAGGAAAGTTGCAACATAATTTGGCTATATTATGATAAGAAAATAGTATGCTTTCGATCGATGTATCCATGCAATTATATGTTCTTAATACGTTTGCTAGTTTCCATATACATTAAATTTATTTAAAATAAATAATTTACTTAATTCTAATTTTGAATCATTTACACTACAAAGAGGTCTCTGTTACGAACTTAATTTTTATAATCTTTTGTAACTTTCAATATGGACTTCTAATCATGGATCATTACAAGATTCAATATTTTCCCAATTTATTTTCCAACCATATTGACATCTAAATCCCTTGTTGATGATGATATTTGTGTAGGTGGGAATGAAGATAGATTTTATTTAAAAAAAATAAAAATGAGGATACATTTAAGTTTGGATGTACATAGTACATGTTTGGAACCTGATGTTTAGTTTTCCATGAATGATGCTACATTTATAGGGGCCTGCTTCACACGCCCCTGCCAGGTAACACACGTGGGGGAGCGGGCCACATTTTTTTTAATACATTGGGGTGGGGCCATGTGCTACAGTGAGGGCCCTTCTGTGAAATTAAACCCTGTACGTAGGACTTAATTCGTTTTCCATTATTATGCATGAATCTGTCCGTAATATGCGTCCCTACATCACATGCCCCCGTTTGGCCCCATATAATTATAATTAATTTTTTTCTCTTCTTATTGACTGCACATTTTTCAATAAAATAATATTACGTGCAAATCTAGAACTTTTCATTATTTTTTAATACACATTCTTCAAAAAATTATTATTCCAATTTTTTTTTTTTCCAAATTCTCATTATAATGGGGGCCGGAGAACAACATTATTGTGTTTTGATTGAATTGAAATAAAGTAATAATAATGTGCATGATTAACTATTACTCAAATAAACACAGTGATATTCGTAACAAATTTTAAACGTGAAGGGAACAGTTCTACGATGATTGGACAACGGGTGATTTGATATGGCTCTTTGCTCAAGTTCTTGTCAAATTTATGACACTAATAGAGTTGGAAGTAATTTATGACATCATAAAGTTGGACCAAGATACGTGACGTGACAAATAATAAAGAATGTCATGATTTGTGATTTGTGTAATCGGGGAGTGGACTGACTGTAAAAATTTAATGAAACTTTAAAAATTAACTTACTCATTTTTTTAAAGTTGGGAACTAACGATAAAATTTTCTCTTGAATCATAGCCTATGTTTGAGCTCCATTTTACCCAAAATTTATTTTCAATCACACAATCTATCGTAAAAAAAATTTACGCGTGAACCCCAAATTTTTCCCCATTTTAACCACAATTCTACAAAAAAAAAAAAACTATTCTAAAACCTATTTTTCCCAAATAAAAAGCGGGGCTCAAACAAATATATTCGATTTTTCATTTGTTGAAACAGTAGGACAGAGTGTCGAAAGGTTTTCTTTAGTTGCACTAATTTTAATTGTGCTAAAAGTTTTTAATTTTTGCTCGTAGTCACACGTGTTTTTATTTATTTGTTGCATTCTTATCATCAATTTACTATTAGTTTGCACGTCTAATCCCTAAGCAACTTTTGAAATAAGAGATAAGTATTCTATTGAACTTTTGTATTTGTTATTTATTTATTTTTTGCTTATTTATAAGTAAGATTCTTTATGATCTCCTAAGACTTTTTGGATCGAGATCATTTACAAGACTAGTTTTACTAAAAGTTCGAGGATTAGAATGTCACTAAGCTCCGTTTGTCTCTTTAAAACAAAATTCTTTTAAGTCCCATAATCACAAAATAAAATATTTTACACGTAAACTGAATTTTTTTCTATTTTTTAACCACATATTCTTCAAAAAATCACTATTCAAAATATCATTTTTCCTAAATAATGGCCATCAAACGAGGGCTTAAGTTGGAGACATAAATACAACAACGAACAAAGATTAGAGACCTTTAGTGCAATTAAAAATGGTGACACTTTGTAGTGGCAATATAACCTCTCATTTTAACCACATCAACCCGAAAAATGAAAAGTTCAAATTAGGGTTAAATCGAGGTAGATCAGAAAAAAATAAAATAAAACAAAACTTTTAAGTGAATAGGCCGATTCTTGGTTTGAAGTGTGTGGGCAGGTTTTTTCTCGTTTTAATGGTTTATTATTTTTTAAAATCTATAATATATTAAATATCACTTCAAGCAAGAATCAATTTTTTAGATAATTATAATCCTACCACAATTCAATTATTTCAATAATGAGTCATGCTATGTGTACGCATAAATTAATCCTTCAATAATATCTTATGTTTCGTTTCTCAACATGTTTTTAATTTACAAATTGTAATAAATACCATAATTAATTCTCAATTAATTAACACCAACATTCATTTAATTAATATTAATTAGAATTTCAAATTTATGGATATGGTATATTATTCACGTCCATGTATGCTAATTAACGTCCGATTTCACTTAATTAGAAATTATATTCTACTAATTTAATATAAATGATTTAACATTCATGATCACGTATATATTCCTTGTTATTTATTTTAAATTGATTAACATTCACGTTAATTCATGTATCGTATTTACCATTCATTTTTATTTATGCATTTAGTTGTAATTCTAATACTTACATTCAAGTATGGATTTCACTATTTACATGCGTGTATAATAATTAACATTTATTTTGAGAAACTTGCATTTCTCTTATATTTAGATCAAAATGGTGAATGAAGGATCAAATATATTTTTTATTTTAATATTATTTTTAATTTTTAATCAATCTAAAAATTATTTAATAATACATACAAATTATAGTACCAAATGCAGTATGTTTATTTTTATTTTCCCATTTATTTATTTTAGTGACAAATAACATGCCATAAAAATAATTTATAGATTCAATTATTATAACAAATAGGATCAAAAGTATTCTATTGAACTTTTGTATTTATTATTTATTTATTTTTTGCTTATTTATAAATAAGATTCTTTATGATCTCCTAAGACTTTTTGGATCGAGATCATTTACAAGACTAGTTTTACTAAAAGTTCGAGGATTAGAATGTCACTAAGCCCCGTTTGTCTCTTTAAAACAAAACTCTTTTAAGTCCCATAATCACACATTCACACAATAAAATATTTTACACGTCAACTGAATTTTTTTTTCTACTTTTTAACCACACATTCTTCAAAAATATCTTATGTTTCGTTTTTGAATATGTTTTTAATTTACAAATTGTAATAAATACCATAATTAATTCTCAATTAATTAACATTTACATTTATTAAATTAATATTAATAAGAATTTCACATTATTCCGTGTTATTAATTCTCAATTAATTAACATCTACATTCATTTAATTAATATTAATTATAATTTCAAATTTAAGGATACAGTACATTATTCACGTCCATGTATGCTAATTAACGTTCAATTTCACTTAGTTAGACATTAAATTAAATTAATTTAATATAAATGATTTAATATTCATGATCACGTATATATTCCTTGCTATTTATTTTAAATTGATTAACATTCACGTTAATTCATGTATCGTATTTGTCATTCATCTTTATTTATGCATTTAGTTGTAATTCTAATACTCACATTCAAGTATACATTTCACTATTTACATGCGTGTATAATAATTAACAGAGTGTGGTTGAATTATTCTACAAGCATAATGTTTTAAATTGAGAGTTTATTGGTTCATCGAAAATCAATGCTTTGAGATATTCGAATTTCCTCAAATTAACTCACTTGTCATCAATTTTATAAGTTGTTATTTAAGTGGACGGTCTTAGCTTAAATGGGAAAAAAATGTTTCATAGAATGCTCGAACAAGGCCAAGCAGAATGATCCATGAATATATGAGATGTTAAGACAAAAGGCCATGACTTAGACCTAAAAAGGACGACTAGGAGCATAAAAACAAAATGGGTAATTTTGGACGATGAATTCGTTTGTTGTGCTGATATTAACATAATATTAAACATCTCAAAATAAACTTCGTAAATTAATTTTTAACGCTGAAATTGATGGTGAGAAGTTATATCTATAATTTTCGATGTTTCTCTAAGGCTCCGTTTGATTCGCCATATTTTCCATGGAAAATTTCAATTTTCCAGCTTTTGTAGTGTTTGATAAACAAAATTTTCCCGACAAAATTTTTTCCACCTTTTTGAAGAAAATAAATTCTTGATGTTTTGGTGGAAAAAAATTTTCCATTTTTTTTTGGCAATTGGAAAAAAGTCTAGATACAATGGCAAAAAAATTGATCACTTTTTTTGACAATTTTCATGCAAAATAATGCCAACCGAATGATATTCGGTATGATAAATGTTTTTTCAATTTTTTTTTGGCAATTGAAACAAATTCTAGACGAATTGATAGAACAAATTATCAGTTTAATGGACAATTTTCATAAAAAACGAAGTCAAACTGACACCAAACTTTGAAGATGCCACTGTTGAGCAACTTATCTTAGCAGGGGAGAATAGTTGGGACTACAATCTTGTCGCCGATCTTTTTAATGAAGAAGACCGTGGGCAAATCATGAAAATTCCCCTAACAGCACATGGGAGGGAAGATCGAATGTACTGGATTCATGACAAGAAAGGTACTTACTCAGTCAGAAGTGGGTATAAGCTAGTGATGGCGGATTCTTTCAAACACTCTCATACTACTATTGAGAGCTTTTGGAACAAAATTTGGAGATATAAAATTCTGGCGAAGGTTCGAAATTTAATTTGGAGGGCATCGCTAAATGTTCTTCCAACAACTGATCAATTAAGGGCTAAAAGAGTCGACGTTGATAGCCATTGCCCGGTTTGCTTAATGCACGAAGAATCTGTTCTCCATGTTTTTGTCCCTTGTGAATTCGCCGAAAAGGTTTGGGAGACAGTGGGAGTAGCGAGTTCACCCCTCTTGGCTGCTAATTTCAAAGACTCGTTGACAGCTACCTTAAAGAATCATCATCAAGACCAAGAGATTATCGCTATGCTTTGTTGGGTTATATGGATGAACCGAAATGAAACTGTTTTGAATACTAAGTCGTTTACAGTACTTAAGGTGGTAACTATTGCCAAAAATTTTCTCCAGCAATGGCAAGATGCTAACCAACCACCTTCAAAACCCGCGGCCAACTCCAACAGGCCGGAGCTTGTTAAGTGGAAACCACCTACTACGAGTTCCCTTAAATTAAATATTGATGCAGCCATCTTTGAAGACCAAGGGAAGGCCGGGTTAGGCCTAGTGATTCGAAATGATTAGGGTTCCTTTGTTGCTGCTAGAGTTGTTACTGCACAAGGTATTGTATATCCACTTCTAGTCGAAACTTTGGGGGTTCGTGAGGCTCTTTCTTGGATTAAATCTAAATTTCCTGATGTCCAAACCATTGAGATGATGCTCTCCTGGTTTATAGTGCTCTACAGAGTGATGGTGTTGACAATTCTTATTTTGGTATTCTTATTGAAGAGTGCCGCCTCCTTGCTAGAGAATTACCGAATCTCAAATTCAACTGGGTTAGGAGATCAGCTAACCAAGTAGCTCACACACTAGCTAAGACCGCTAGTTCATTACATGTTATTGTTGAATGGTCTTATTTTCTACCTTTATTTCTTTCAAATGTAATGATTGACGATTTGATGAATGAATAATTTTATTTCCCTCAAAAAAAAAAAAAAAAGACTTCTCTTTTTGTAATTTTTATTTTTGGTAAAAACAGTTCGTGCTAATATTATTAGTCTAGCTTAAAAGAAAAAAAAAAGTTTCATAGAATGACAAGATAAAGTAGTACCATGCATTTATTTGGTGAGTATTAAAATCAATTTTTTAGTTGATTTTAATAAAAGTTGATAAAATGTGTGGTTAAAAATTGTGAATCTTATAAAATATATGGTTAAAATTAATGGTTGACTTTATCGTATATTAAAATTTTGATTTTAATTTTCACCCAATAGGGTTATTTATGATTTAACCACCGACAATATACAATGATTGGCTTGTCCGAACGGTTAATATTGAGACCCACTTGTTGGGAGGTAATGATTGATTTGGGAGGTACACATGTTTGGTAAAAGAATACCATGTGATAGTACTTAGAACTAGAGGCATAGCATATGATGTCATAATTTTTTTTAAAAAAATTAACATATCGAACACGCCAAATTGAACATGTCACTATTGTCATATAAGAAGACAAACACTACATTCCCAACAACAACCTGGAAAATCAAACATAAAATCAGATTGTAATAATAATTCCCTTTAACCACATGTTTGGTAGGCATTTAAATTTTAATTCATTTTTCTTTCTCCTTTTATCAACCACGTATTCTTTTAATAAAATAATATTACGCATAAACTCCAAAATTATTTTTATTTTTTAATCAAACTTTCTTTCAAAATCGTTTTTTTTCCCTCTAAATAATGAAGCTTAAACAAGGACTAAATTGAGCCCACCCCCAACCCAAAAAAAAATAAAAAAATCTTATGCATTTCAATGACCCATTTCAATTGGGAATAATGCTAAGTGTACACAATTTTTTACACAATCTTTTACACATCTCTCACATGGAAGGGGGCCCACACATAATAAAATAATCGTGGACCCCCCTCCATGTGAGAGAGGTGTAAAAGATTGTGTAAAAGTGTGTGTGTACATGTAGCATTACCCTTTTTGCAAAGCCATCATGACAGTATCGACCATGTGCATAGTTTAAGAAAGCAAAATCCTCCACCTCGATCCGCTTGTGCTGCCTCATCCAATATGAAGCAGGAAATCCTCGTCTCGAATAGTAACAAGACGAAAATGGAGAACATGTCCATGATCTGAATTTCTAAAAATCATCCAAAATCCTTCTTTTTTAAAAAAAAAAAANTAACCACACATTCTTCCATCAATCACTATTCCAGAATTTACTTTTTCTCCAAAATGGGTGTCAAACAAGTTAACATATCGAACCCGCCAAATTGAACATGTCACTATTGCCATATAAGAAGACAAACACTACATTCCCAACAACTTAGAAAATCAAACATAAAATCAGATTGTAATAATAATTCCCTTTAACCACATGTTTGGTAGGTACTTAAATTTTAGGACCTGTTTGGTGGGGATTTTCAAAATTTTACAGTAAATCAATTATCATTTTCAACCACACATTCTTCAATAAAATAATATTTTCCATCACATCAATAATTTTTTTTTTCTTTTTCAACCACACATTTCCCATCATATCACTATTCAAAATCAATTCTTCCTCCAAAAATCCCTCTCAACCAAGCACTTAATTCATTTTTCTTTCTCCTTTTATCAACCACACATTCTTTTAATAAAATAATGTTACACATAAACTCAAAAATTATTTTTACTTTTTAATCAAACTTTCTTTCAAAATCTTTTTTTTTTTCTAAATAATGAAGCTCAAACAAGGGCTAAATTGAGCCCACCCCCAACCCAAAAAATAAAAATAAATAAATAAATAAATCTTGTGCATTTCAATGACCCATTTCAATTGGTCCTTATAGTCTTAAGTTGCGTGTTTCATTTCAAGTACTTGTTTGGTTTAGCTATAAAGTCGATAAAAATTTAAATTAAAATCAATACTTGATTTTAATCACGCATTTCATAGACTTTTATCAACTTTTTAATTATATATTTATTCAACTTTTATCAAAATCCAATAAAAATCTAATTTTTAGTAAAATCAATAAGAAACAAATACTAGGAAGAAATATTTTTCTTCATAGAATCAAAATTTATAGTACCACTTGATGTACATCAATTTTACAAGAGTCCAAAGAATGCCCCATGCCAACGAATTGTACGATGAATAAGTGAGATGTTAAGACAAAAGACCATGTGATTTCTTCACTAGCACCTGTCCTGAAAAGGGCGACTAGGAAAATAAAAACATGGGTGAAATGTGAACCAAGTAATTTTGTGGGGTTAATTCTCTAAGTGATTACTGAACGTTTCTTAAAAGTAATGTGATTTCTTCAAAAGGCCAGCACTAGCACTTGTCCTGAATACGACGACGAAGAAAATAAAAACAAAATAGGTGACATGTGAACCAAGTAATTTTGTGGGGTTAATTCTCCAAGTGGTTACTGAAATTTTCTTAAAATTTTCACGGGTCATTGAATTTAAAACTGTCCATGTTAGTCATTGAATTTTCACGGGTCATTTGATTTTTAGTAAATTTTGATAAAATTAATGTAGTGGAAAAGTTGTGGATTCCGTAAAATATGTGGTTAAAATTAATTTTTAACTTTAACTTAAATTAAAATATGAATTTCAATCCTTACCAAACATTGACAATATATATAGAGGAAATTACATGGAGGCAGCTGTTTAAAGTTTCAAATTTAAAAATCAAGGACTAAGTTTCATTCTTCAAAAATCATGTGATAATAAAAATTCTTAACCCTAATTTTTCATTCTTTACCCCATCCCCTCTTTCTCTCTCCCCTCCTTTCCTCTCCCCTCTCTCTTCCGTCTCGTCTCTGCCACCTCCCCTTTCCTTCCCTTCCCCCTGCTGTGATTTCGCGAATCGCAGCAGCGTCTGCTGTGGGTGTCGTGGTTTGTAGTTGCTGCGACCCCACAGCAGCATCACGATGCTGCTATGGGTGTGGTGGTTTGTGGTGGTGATTTTTTTGTTGTGATTTTGCAGTGGCGTAGTAGTGGGTGTGTTATGCGAAGCTGTTGGGGTGTGCGGGTGTGTTGCTTCGACGCCGTGGGTGTGGCGGATTGGCGGTCGTTTGCTTTTGGCAGATCTGTGGGGTGGCGGATTGGTGGTTGGCTGTTTATGTTTGTGATCGTTGGTGGCAGATCTATTGTTGGTAGTTTGGCTGTTGGTGGTGGCGGATCTGTTGTTGTTTGGAGTCAGTTTTCGTCTTGTGGTTGGTTAGTTTGTGTTCGTCGATCTGTGACCTGTGACTAAGCGGCGATACTATGTGATCAAATGTTTGGTAATCTGTGACCAAATGTTTGGTAATATCTGTGATCAATTACTCAACTGTGACCTAAAAATTTAATAATACGTGATTCAAAAATAATCCGTGAAATTTGCGATCTCGAAATAATCTGATATGTGACCTTGAAATAATCTGGGATCAAAAAATTTGAAGATATGTGACTAGTAAATAAATCTGTAACTTATAATTATGAATATGTGATCATTAATCACAAACTGTGATTTTATTATCTTTATTTAATAAATATTTTTAATTAATTAAATTTATACTTGATTTTTAAATTTTCAAACAATTTACCTTACTTTTGAATTGTGGTAAAGAATACACTTTAAATATAAATTTTTCCCATATATATATAGCAGGAGATAAGGGAAAAATTCATAAATAAGGTGTTTAGTTTACANTATTCTGTCGATCATTCCGGTCAAAGATTTATAATTTAATTAGTCACATATTATTTTTCAGTCACAAATAATAATTTTTATACGTCACAGATTATTTTATGGTCACAGTTCAAAAATTTTATAAGTCACATTTAATTTGTTGGTCACAGATTTCAAAATTAATTGGTCACAGATCAAAATTTATAGGTCACACGGTCAGAGATTTCCAAATTAATTGGTCACATATTTTTTACGGTCAAAGATTATATAATTTTTAGGTCACAGATAACAAAATGGATAGTCACAGATAATATTTTTAGTCACATATTACCTAATTTTAAGGTCACCTATTATATTTTTGATCACAAAACCAAAATCATCAGATCCACCACCATTTCAGATCCCAAGCAGATTCACTACCATCACCGGTATCTCACCATCGCAGCACCTAATCACCACTACCGACGACATGAAAACCACCGCAAGCAGATTTGACCAACAACGAACCGTGGTACAGATCACCAACCGGCGAAAATTTTAGATCGTCGAACCCACCACAAACCGAACCCAACCTCACCATATCCAAGCTCACCATTTCAGATCCTCTTCATTACAGCAGTGGCGACTACACACAAACCCACCATTTCAGATCAGAGCCGACCATTTCAGATCCTCTTCATTACAGGGGAAAGAAATGAGAGAAGAAGAGAGAATGTGATATGCAGAGAGAGAAAATGAATTGTAATTAAATTGGGTAGATCAACTCCAATCCGCCCCAAACCCACCGTCGACCCACTCACCCACCCACTGCTTCACTGTAATTTCCTCGTCCTCCCACCACAGCGAGAAAATGTCTCAGAAAACTAGCGGTCGCCACCTCCACCAGCAACATCTTGACCGCGAAGCTGC